GTGACAGTCTGGGCAGAGCTTCAGCATTCTTGAGCTTCAAATAGAAAAAGTGAGGTGACCCAAGCTGATTCATAACCGGTTAAACCCCTCTGGAATGTCCACATGATTTAAGGGCGGACTAGATTGGACTTGGTTCTGATGGCCCACATCTGTGAATATAGTGCTGACATGATTGACCATGAAGACTTGTATATGATGAATGGCTACTGGAGTGAGATAGCTAGGAGCAGTTGAGACTCAAAACCTTGAGAAAAGAGAATTGTTGTTAAATGTGACAACGACAAAGTGCTAGAAGTATTCAGCAGATCTGACAGCATTTGCAGAGAAACAAGCAAAGTTGAATATGACTTCTTCAGAATTAACTGATTTTTATTTGTACAATTGCCTGTGGAGAATTTACATCACAACTAACGGTTTCTGGAAGCAAGTCAAAGGGAAGACATTTGTGTGCCCACGAGAGGCAGACCAGTGTAATTATGATAGGAAATAACAAAAGGACATTAAACAAATAGTTTGTACCTTTCCACAATGTGAAAAACCATCCCGAAGAAATGGGTAACCAAGAGAATGAGGAACTTAAAGCAATCAGTATAGCTAGAAATAGTTCTGGAGAAATTAATGGGACCAAGGAACAAAAAAATTCCTGGAACTGTCCTGAATCCTAGGATTTGTACACTGAACAGATCAATTTTAATCTCCTAAAATTCCTTAGATCGTTAAGGTAAAGTCACCGTAGTCCCAGAGGATCATACTGCTGCAGTGGTGATGATTTAACCTGAGGGTCACCACTCCTGAGGTAAGATGTTGAGAGGGTGGCATGGTGGCTCAGTGGTTAGCACTGCTGTCTTACAGTGCCCGGACCCAGGTTCGACTCCATCCTTGGGTGACTCTGTGTGGAGTTTGTGTGTTCTCCCTGTGTCTGCCTGGGTCTCCTCCAGGTACTCCAGTTTCCTCCCACAGTCTGAAGATGTGCATGTTAGGTGAATTGGCTTTGCTAAATTTTCCATAGTAACCAGGGAGGAATGCAAGGTCACAGGGATAAGGTAGGGGGCTGGAGTCTGGATGGGATGCTATTCGGAGGATCGGTGTGGACTTGATGAGCGGAATGGTCTGCTTCCACATTGTAGAAATTCTATGAAAAAAAGACCTCATCCAGTGTGAGAATTGAACCTATGCTGTTGGCATCACCCTGCATTGCAAGCTAGCCATTCAGCCAAATAAGTTAATCACGTTCCCCCCACCCCCCACCAGATGGCATAACCATTCCTAAAGATGGAAAATTAACAAACATAAGCTGCTACTTAGGAAAGGAGAAAGAGGAAACAGGCAACAGTTGGCTAACATAGTGAGCAAAAGAGATGTAGAAACAGGGCAATATTTTATTTGGAGATAGAACTGCAGATGCTGGAGTCAGAGATAACACAGTGTGGAACTGGAGGAACATAGCGGAGCAGGAACGTTGATGTTTCAGGTCAGGACCCTTCTTCAGAATGTTTTTGTACTTTTGTGAGGCGTGGATGTCACTAAGTCAACATTTCTTATTTGTTCCCAGTTGCCATGGTGGAGGTGTTGCTGAGCTGGCTTTTTGTCTTGCTGCTATTATGAAGGGAGTTCCAAGGTTTTGGCCCGTTGACAGTGATGATATGGAAATCTAGTTCCAAGTCAGGATGGTATATGGCTTGTGGTGGAGATTTTGAAGGTGGTGGTGTTTGGACTCTGTCCTTCGAGGTAGTTCAAGTTGTGGGTTTGGAAGTTGTGGGACCTATGATAAGTTACTGCAGTGCATTTTGTAGGTGGTACACATTGGTGGTGGAGTAAGTCGATATTGAAGTTGGTGGATGGGCTGCATGGTCCTGGATGGTGACAAGCTTCTTGAGTGTTGTTGGAGCTGCATATATCTAGGACAAGTGGGAAATATTCCATCAAAGTCGCCTGCTCCAGTGGTCCCCAGCATTACAGATACCAGTTATCAGCCAATACAATTCACTCCACGTGATATCAAGAAACAGTTGGAGACACTGGATACTGCCACGGCTACTGCCCTGACAACATTCCGGCAATAGTACTGAAGACTGGCGCTCCAGAACGTTTTGCTCCCTATCCAAGTTCTTCCAATATTTATAACACTAGCATCTAGTTGACAGCATAGAAAATTGCCCAGGTATGTCTTGTACATAAAAAGCAGGACAAGTCCAACTGGCCAATTACCGCCCCATCAGTCTACTCTCAATCATCAGTAAAGTGATGGAAGGTGTCACTAACAGCACTATCAAGCAGCACCTGCTCAGCAATAACCTGCTCAGTGATGCCCAGTTTGGGTTCCGCCAGGGCACTCAACTCCTGACTTCATGCCTTGTTCAGACATGGACAAAAGAGCTAGTTTAGTGGGATTAGAGTAGATTCAGAGTAGTTTTTGCCAATGCAGACTTGATGAGCTGAAGAACTACTTCTGTACTGTTTGATTCAATGATTTCCTTCCCCTAAAGAACATCAATGTACCAGATGGGTTCATAGAAAGATTGTTGGTGGTTTCATGATACCACTACAGAGACTAGCTTTCAATTCCAGGTTTATTAACTGATTTAGATTACAACAGCTGCCCCCTTGATGGGATCTCAACCTAGGTTGTTATTCATTTGTGAGATGTCGGTGTTGCTGGCAAGCCAGCATTTTTATTGTCCATCCCTCATGGACCTTGAGAAGAAAATGGTGAGCTGCCTTCTTGAATTGCTGCAATCCACCTGCTGTAGGGAGCAAATTCCAGGATTTTAAGCTAGCGACAGTAAAGGAACAGGGATATATTTCCAAGTTAGGATGGTGAATGGCTTGGAGCAAGACTTGGAGGTGGTGGTATTCCCATGTGCCTGCTGCCCTTGTCCTTCTAGACTCTACCTGATGAAGGAGCAGTGCTTTGAAAGCTTGTGATTTTAAATAAACTAGTTGGACTATACTCGGGTGTTGTGTGACTTCTGATTTTATGCTTCTGGCTAGAGGTGGCTGTGAGTTTAGAAGGTGCTTTCTGAGGATCTTCGGTGAATTTCTGAAGTGCATCTAGTAGATAGCATGCACTGCTGTGACTGAATGTCGGTGGTGGAGGGAATGGATGTTTGTGGAGGCAGTGCCAATCAAGCAGATTACTTTGTTCTGCATGGTGTTAGGCTTGTGCAATGTTGTAGGAACTGTACTCATCCAGGCAAGTGAGGAGTATTATGCCTTGTAGATGGTGGACAGGCTTTGGGGAGTCGGGAAGAGAGTTACTTGCCGCAGTATTTCTAGCCTGTGACCTGCACTTGTAGCCTTTTTTCTATTCATTCACAGGACCTGGGGTTTTTCCGACAATCAGTAATGGTTTCATGGTCATCATTAGGCTCCTAGTTTCAATTCTTTATTGAATTCAAATTCTACCATCTGCCATGGCGGGATTCACACCCAAGTCCCCAGAATATTTCAAGGTCTCTGCATTAACAGTCTAGTGATAATGCCAATAGGCCATCACCTTCTCAGTATGTGGTGGGTCAAGTTGAGTTTCTGGTCAATGGGAACCCCAAGGATGTTGCTAGTAGGGGATTCAGTGATGATAACACCATTGAATGTCAGAGGGTGATGGTTAGATTGTCTCTTATTGGAGATTTTCATTGCCTAGCGTTTATGTGGCGTGAATGTTACTTGCCACTTGTCTGCCCAAGCCTGGATATTGTCCAGATCTTGTTGCATTTAAACATGGACTGCTTCAATATGTGACGAATATCAAATGGACATTGTGCAATCATCGGCGAACATCCCCACTTTGGTTCTTATGATGGAGGGAAGGTCATTGTTGAAGCAGCCGAAGATGGTTGGGCCCAGGACACTACCCTGAAGAACTCTCTAAGAGATGTCCTGAGTATATTGTGTACAAATGTGTATAAAACATACAATGTTTTCAGAATGCTTCCCGCTACTTGTACGTATGGTGCTGTTTGACAGCCATGTCCCGCAGTTAAAGGTTTGCAGCACCTTTCTGGTGCCATATAGAACCCAGACGTCTGATTAGTTCGAGCGACTTATGGATATAACATCTCAGCTTCCTATTTCCACAGCCTCTCGTAATTTGTCTGACTGGTGGCTGTCTCACTGGATCGCTCATGTGGAGCATAAGAACGCAACCGGCCAAAGCAGACCTTATGCAGCTCTCTATACACGGCAATTAATGCGCTTCATTCGGTAAGTACCAATGAGAGAATGTGGTGTGTGTGTGATTCTTGAATGTCTTGTTAGACAAAGAATCTATACTTCATGGCTTAGAGAGGCAGGTAATTATCCTGTGTTCATCC